GTGTCTATCAGCGCTGTATGTGATATTAGTGTCTATCAGGACTGTATGTGATATCAGTGTCTATCAGCGCTGTATGTGATATTAGTGTCTATCAGCGCTGTATGTGATATCAGTGTCTATCAGGACTGTATGTGATATTAGTGTCTATCAGCGCTGTGTGTGATATCAGTGTCTATCAGCGCTGTGTGTGATATCAGTGTCTATCAGCGCTGTGTGTGATATCAGTGTCTATCAGCGCTGTGTGTGATATCAGTGTCTATCAGGACTGTATGTGATATCAGTGTCTATCAGGACTGTATGTGATATCAGTGTCTATCAGCGCTGTATGTGATATTAGTGTCTATCAGCGCTGTATGTGATATCAGTGTCTATCAGCGCTGTATGTGATATTAGTGTCTATCAGCGCTGTATGTGATATTAGTGTCTATCAGGACTGTATGTGATATTAGTGTCTATCAGCGCTGTGTGTGATATTAGTGTCTATCAGAGCTGTATGTGATATTAGTGTCTATCAGAGCTGTATGTGATATCCGTGTCTATCAGCGCTGTGTGTGATATCCGTGTCTATCAGTGATGTGTGTGATATTAGTGTCTATCAGTGATGTGTGTGATATCAGTGTCTATCAGCGCTGTGTGTGATATCAGTGTCTATAAGCGCTGTATGTGATATTATTGTTTTTATATGCAGTGTATGATGCTGAATGCAGGACCCTGCACTGCACTGGATAATGGTGTGCCCGTACCGCAGCAATGGTACCTTTAACATGTGGCACCACTTCTTTGATTCCGTTTAGTTTAGGTTGTCTGTCCTCTGATTTTTTTTTTTTTAATTCTCCCTTTCCTGCATGGATTTCCTTCTTCTTTTCTGCAAGGTGTAAAGAAGGAAGAGGTGAGTGAGATGGTGGGTTAAGGTCATTGGCTGCATCTGCCCTATGGTAAATTTACATTGTCCAATACACTGAAGGCCATATGGAAATCACAGAATATGAAGGAGAACCACAGATACCTTATATTGATGTAAATTATCTCTTGCGGCTTTCCTACCACGCCCAAGGCTCATCAGCTCCCAACCATAGCTGCAGCCTTCATACATAACTACAGCTCCCACCCATAACTGCATAGCTGCAGGTTTCGTGCATAGTTGAAGCCCCCATGCATGGCTACATCTTCCATGCCCAACTGTATCTTCCATCCATAACTGCAGCTCACGTACATAATGTCAGCTTGCATGCATAGCTGCAGTTCTAATGCATTGTGTTCAGTAATCATATCACAGGCAGAGGGGAGGATTTTGTGTGGGAGTGTCTGTGTGTATTGTACAGATTGATTGGTTGTTCTGTAAAACCCTGTGGGCAGTATTAAGTTTGTGGATTGGGAATAAAAGAGGCTGTATGTGCCAATACAGTCAGTTCTGCTTAACCCTCAAAGTGAAGTGTCGTCTCATTATTGGGGGAGGATTTATTGTATGCTGTTCCAGTTTGACTGCTAGGAGTGTAAACCTATTCGCATGGTTTTTCCTCTTCGGCTGTATACAACATTCATATGCTTAAAAGTACTCATATGCTTCTCCGGTTCGGTGATTGTGGTGTCTGCCAGAGTGCTTGGAGTCCTCAGGAAACACTAGGGGCATCCTTTAGCGGAGGTACACAGTCGGGGTGCCAGGCGATCCGTTACACCTTGTTTATGTGGCCCATGCTAGACTTTGAGTTTGACATGCTTGGTGTAGGGAGACTGTGTGAGTCACATGCAAGGAGGTATGAATAGAGCTGTATAAACAAAGTGATTTAACTCCTAAATGGCAGAGAATTGAGCAGTGAGACTGCAGGGGCATGATCTATACACCAAGACTGCTTCATTAAGCTAAAGTTATTTTGGTATTTAGAGTGTCCCTTTAATGGTAGTACGAGGCGCATTAGCCTGTTCCCAGCAATTTGGGGTATTATAATCTTTGTCTGAAAGAAGTCAGTGCTAACTTGCTGTAAGACTTAAGTGGGCACATAGTGTCCTGTCTGTAATGGCATGTGGTAATTGGCACAATTTCATAGCGAGGGCGAAGAAAGGCAGCCAGCAAGTCACGGAAAGAGGACAATCATAAGCATTGATCAATATGAGTGCTGGAAGTTTAGATCTTCCCTTTAGAAGGGCAGAGGAACAAGAGCTCTCAGTGCTCCACACAGACACCACGATCAGACCAGGCTAAGCCTACCCCTAAGTGTGTTTAACCTTCTCACTGCCAGGAGCTCTTAGTGCTCCATGGAGACACCATAATAAGATGGGCATGGGGCACCCGGGAGCATGTTTAACCCAAGCTTAATTTAAGATCCTTTTTCAGTCCCAGGCACACAGTACTAATAAAATGCTCTGTTTTGTGGAGCACTAGTGTGTCTAAGTTTTAAGACTTTTTTTAGTGACCCAGGAAGCCAAATCTCAGAAAGAAGCTTTGGAATAACTGTCCATTACATTAGATATTCCTGCTCAAATTTACCAACTGTCTAACCAAGTTTGCCCAGAATACATACATCCCAAATTTTTAGGTGACTTACTAATAGCAATTTGTAAAACTAAAATGTAATTTATAAAAAGAACGAAAAGAAGAAAATGGCGTAACTCTAGGGGTCACAGGGTTCGCAGCTGTGACCAGGCCAGTCACTCCAGGGTGCCTGGCTGCCCTGTCATGGAGTGCCGGCATGGTTTCAGGGCCAGTGCACTGCTACACCAGCCTAGGGAGCGCATTTGCCGGGGGACCAGCAGTGCTACTTTCAGTCACTGCATGCAGTGTGGCCAAGCGGACCTCGGTCTGACAGGAAGTGCTCTCTGAGAGCAACGAGCACTTCCTGTTAGACTGGGTGCCGGTGCACAGATGGCCACGCTACACAGAGTAGGTATAGAGGGGGATGGGGGATGAGACACATGGACGGGCTGGGGGGAGAATGCAACACTTGGAGGGGTCCATATGAGACATGGGGGGCTGTAGGGGGAATGTTGCACATGTAGGGGGAATGTTGCACATGGAGGGGCTGGTGGGGAGGATGAGACACATGGAATGGCTGGGGGGTAATGAGACACATGGAAGGGAGGGTCGATTTTCGCACTGGGGCCCGGTGGTTTCTAGTTACGTCTCTAGCTGTATTGATTTATTGGGGAGTAGTTTTAGCTATATACGGTCTGTCAGAGACATTAAAACCCCAAACAAAATCTATGATTTCCATTGAGGGGGAGATATCAGCTTTTGTCCCTGAGGGGGCCAGTTGAATCAATGCAGCTATAAATGTCATATCTTCCTTATCTAATGGATACATTATAAAATAAGGCAATGTGTTACTAATGTGTTCCTGGTGTTTCCTTGGTAACAGATGTGATACATATTCTTAGTCTTCACAAAAGTATCGCCTCTTCCGCCTACTTACTATTCATCTTCATCCCCATATTATTACGCACTGTGCAACGCAGAACACCAGCAACAGACCTCGCAGAGAGCTAAGAAACAGGAGTCAATGATACCAATGATAGCAGTAGGGGGTAATCAGGGTGTGAAATGGGGTAACAGGCTGAGGAAATTACAGTCAAGTAAAACAGATGATGCCATTTCACTCTGTAGCGGAACTTTCTGTACCCTGGCTGGGTACTTCTCAAGGATCACTTCCTAGCTGTACCCAGAGAAACCACAGCACTTCTGCCCCAGTTGCTGTGACTTGACTGGGGTCCTCCTGGAGCCTCTCCTTCCTGGAACAGGGTAGAGGACTAGCTCTACCCACCCCAGGACTGAATCCTCCACGAGCTGGAAAAAGGTGCTGAAAAGTGAATAGCTCTCTCCCCTCCCAGTAACTGGACGACACACAGTTCTGAGAGTATAACTGATTTTAATGAGCCAAACCGGCCTTTTATGAAGATACCCCAGCGGGGGTCGCCATTTTATGTAGATGCACCAGCGGGGGTCGCCAATACAAGCGCCTCCCAGGTGTTTCTGTGCCTGGGAGATAATTAAATTAAAGACTGGTAAGTTAATTATATCCCAGATGCAGAGAGCCACACATAAAAGTACCCCAAAACATAATGAAAACATACAGTAACCCAACATGTCCTACATCCCCAAACAGCCCTGATCTGAGCGCCCAAGATTTAGAAATAGCGCTCAGATCCATGTAGTGTAGGGGAAAATTCTGACAGGCCGCACACATGGTCCTATGCCCAAAATTATTCCAGAGCAATGTGCTTTGGCCGGTCAACTTTCAGGAACTCCTGTGGCTGAAATAAGGGGCGCTCCATCTGGCTCTCAGGGAATGCTTGTTTCTCACAGTCTCAGACACGTTCCCTCCAAAAAGAGCTCTCCTTGCGGGTCAGCAAGTGGTTCAAAACACCGGACCAAGATGACCAGGAACTGCAAGGTCACATAGACAAAAACGTTTTTTATATCATTCGCAGCTAAGTACTGCGGAGGACCGTTCTCAGGTTAGTTCGTAGGAACTATCCAAGGTGGCCGGGAATTACAAAGTTCTCATGCCAAAAACAGTGCCATATCGGTTGCGGCTATGTATCGCTGAGGACTGTTCATGGGTTTGTCTGTGCTAACGGCCACCAGGGAGCGAGCGCTTGGTTCAATTCATTAAAGGGGAAAATACTGAACCTGGGGCACCAGGGGAAAGCTGCTTGAAGGTTGCCAGACAGGTTAACTTTCGAACAGGGTCTCTGGACCTGTCCCATAGTCGGTGGGCAGAAGGCCAACTTCCACACCCCTAAGAAGTTCATGGCAAACGTTTGTGGAAAAGTGTTTGTCACGCTCTCTTCTTTACATACAGATCCATGTGTCTCTGTGCTAGTGTTGGGTGGGGTACCTGAAGAAGTGTGTTGCTTTAGTGGACACTCGCTGGATATCCAGAGAACCAAAGTATAGATTGTATCACTGTAATTCTATGAAGGAAGCAGGCTTATTAAAGAAACACACTAAATACCAAAACAACTTTACCTGAATGAAGCAAATTTAATGTACAGATCAGGTGTAGGCAACTTTTGGTTCGCCACATTTTGGGAGCTACATCTCCCCTGATGTCTTGCCAGAATTATGGCTGTCACAGCATTATGGGAAACTTAGTTCACATCATCTGGAGTGCCGAAGGTTACTTACCCCTGGTACGGATCATGTCATTGCAGCCTCACTGCTTAATTCGCTGCTATTTAGGAGGTTAATCACTTTTGTTAAACCAAACGCCACAATAGGGTAATATTGCTTTTTACAAACTAGAGTATTTATTGGTTATTGTACTCGCAGTCCCAGAAGATAAATGGCACTGTAGCAGAATGGGTTCACTATACAAGATTTATTCTGCTCTGTTCGGCTGTCCGTACCACCCCCCCCCCCCGTTTGTTCCACGAATGGAAGATGTGTGGACCCCTTTTATAACAAAAGCCATACAAAAAAAAAAAAAAAACATACAACTATATAGTGCCCTACCTGTACCATTCAGACTATATCCGCGCATGGACAAATCCGGAAACAGCTCTACGACTTAAAAGACAAGCAGGAGAAGACACCGACTGATAAAGCTGCAGAACGTGGTGAAACGCGTCACGGTATATTTACATACTCCAATACAGTATTGATTTTATTGTTTATTACTTATTTTATTAAATAAATGTACTTTTAATTCCATAATATCTAGTCTGATGCCTTAATCCCATCTGCTTCCTGCATACAAGAAGGAATGTGTCCCTTTTAGTGACACACTAGCTGAAAATCCCAGAGCCAGGTTTCATTGGCTCTGGAAAAGGTGAGCAAGGTCCATATTTTCTAATATTATACACCTGCATTGTTACTCTACTTCACCAGAAGCTATTTGCTTTAGTTTTGTGTTTCCTTTTGAGTACACATGGAGAAAGACAGAAGGGGACCTGTGTCCCCTAGAACACATCTGTGAAGAAATTCCCCTCTTTTGCTTTAAACTGACAATTTGTATTCCCTTCTTTTATGTTAGCTTTCCCTATGGCATTCGGTAGGTGAAACTACCGAATCGAGACCACCCCGTTGCCCATTATGAATACTTTACCTCCCTGCTTGCTGGGCATGTTCGACAAAAGTTCTGCACGAACGGCAGGTCTTGCCACCATTTCGGGACTTCCTCGTGTTCGCGGCCATTTTAGCTCCCGAACAGCGGTGTTTGCCATTGAATGTCTGGAACTGAAAACGGACACTCAAACAGGCGAACACCGCTGAAGCCTCCAGACCTTCGGTAAACCCCCTTCCAAACTACCGAACGACCGGGCGTTCGGTAGAAAGACTTACCAACGGATGGGGAATCAAGCGAACCAAGGATGGTAGCTGGATGGCAGGCCTTTCGGGAGGTTTTTCATGCGACCTAAGACCGACTGCAGGGCCAGAATTCATGGAACTGTTTTCGGCTACTTTGCCCGTGCAGTCGGTCAAAACTTCTATGTCCCATATCTCCCGAACGGCTGAACCGAATGGACTGATTTTTTCATATGTTGGTCCCCCAGAGTACAGCTATCTTTGGGGTACATCCAGACTTTGAGGAAATTATGTTCCGTTTTAATTATGTTAAATGGTTATCTGAGGGGAGGAGATGTACAGTATGTATATAGTTATGATTGATTGTACAGTTAATTATATGGGAGGCTCCCTTGCATGGGCAGAATCCCATAAAAAGAGAATGCCTGTCAATAAATCCTTAGTTCATCTTTGTACCCTTCTTCTGACTACGTATGCTGTTTGGGAATTCGTGTGTTTTACTGAGGGAATTATCCAGGGACACTATTGGAATTACACTGGGATTCGTCTACCATAACTACCGAACGGAGGGCTATATTCACTGGGCTCTGGCGGTTCGGGAGGAAACTACCGATTGAAGTTTAAATGTACTTGGTTTCCTTACAACAGCCATCTGTGAGATTTGAACCTGTCCTTGTTTTGGTCTAGTGAGTGTATGATATATATTGATTTATACACTTGGGCATATACTACACTGTTTTTCTTATTTAACTAGCAAACTGCTGTATAATTATCCCTCAAGTTATAAGAGTAAGTTGTCGCGCAAGTGCACTGGTAATTCACCTTTTTATATATACTGCCCTACCTGTACCATACAGACCATATACTACCCTGCATATACCATACAGATTATATACTGCCATGCCTATAAGATACAGACTATATAATGCCCTGCCTATACCATACAGACTATATACTGCCCTGCCTGTATCATGCAGACCATATACTACCCTGCCTATACCATATAGATTATATACTACCATGCCTAGATACAGACTATATAACGATACAAATTATATAGGTGGTGCTCAAGGAAACAAGTACACGGTGCTGCTAAATTACCCGAGTATATCGTCACCACATATACTCAAAAACCAAGATATAGTGTAAAGATGAAAGGTACAAGCGCACGCAAAATATACATTAAATGTTATCTGGAATATATGTATAATTATGGTAACATATGCAAGGGATACAAGTTACCTATACAAAAATATAAGCAAACAACAAAACATAGTGTAACCTGTATATAAGATAAAGTACAGTGGATGTTGAAGCAGAAACGACTCACAATTTTCTGAGCCAGTTAAAAGTAGGCTCTGGACTTATACAGCATATATGCCTTTCCCAAGGACATAGATGATCTTCTCCTTTAAATGGATTCTCCATTTGATAACTACCCAGGATAGTGGAAGTTCAAATCAGGAGCCAGGAGTTGAAGATGTATTTAAAATAAATGTATTGCTTTTTAAAAAAAAAAATAAAGTGCACAATGCGTTTCAACCATAGACACATGGTCTTCCTCAGGTGCTGATAAGCATTCAAATGCATACAAAGTCATTTATATAGGTAATATCATCAATACATAATTACATTTATTTATTTATTTATAAAATATTTTACCAGGAAAGATACATTGAGATTTCTCTCGTTTTCAAGTATGTCCTGGGTCCACAAATCATTGCATTGTTACATTAGGTACAACAAAATACAAAAACAATATTAATACACAATATATACAAAATTTAACATAGAACAGGCAGGAAATATATAATCAACCATGACACATGCATTCTGTTTTGAGGTATGTAGAGAGGGATCTCTTAAATGACTTTAGGCTTAGGGAAGATTTTAAATTGTGCGGGAGGTTGTTCCACAATTGCGGTGCTCTGTAGGAGAAGGAGGATCGGGCCGCTTTCTTTTTGTATTTAGGTAGACTAAGTAAAGTGCTTGTAAAAATATGAAAAATAAAACCCATCCCCCTCCTTATATGGTCCTAACCGGATGTGTGTTGCCACCTCCAATATGGCCACATATCCGGTCCGGATAAGCCCGGGTTCCATCTTAATGGGCCAGGACACATATACATGGAGTGCAGAATTATTAGGCAAGTTGTATTTTTGAGGATTAATTTTATTATTGAACAACAACCATGTTCTCAATGAACCCAAAAAACTCATTAATATCAAAGCTGAATATTTTTGGAAGTAGTTTTTAGTTTGTTTTTACTTATAGCTATATTAGGGGGATATCTGTGTGTGCAGGTGACTATTACTGTGCATAATTATTAGGCAACTTAACAAAAAACAAATATATACCCATTTCAATTATTTATTAATACCAGTGAAACCAATATAACATCTCAACATTCACAAATATACATTTCTGACATTCAAAAACAAAACAAAAACAAATCAGTGACCAATATAGCCACCTTTCTTTGCAAGGACACTCAAAAGCCTGCCATCCATGGATTCTGTCAGTGTTTTGATCTGTTCACCATCAACATTGCGTGCAGCAGCAACCACAGCCTCCCAGACACTGTTCAGAGAGGTGTACTGTTTTCCCTCCTTGTAAATCTCACATTTGATGATGGACCACAGGTTCTCAATGGGGTTCAGATCAGGTGAACAAGGAGGCCATGTCATTAGATTTTCTTCTTTTATACCCTTTCTTGCCAGCCACGCTGTGGAGTACTTGGACGCGTGTGATGGAGCATTGTCCTGCATGAAAATCATGTTTTTCTTGAAGGATGCAGACTTCTTCCTGTACCACTGCTTGAAGAAGGTGTCTTCCAGGAACTGGCAGTAGGACTGGGAGTTGAGCTTGACTCCATCCTCAACCCGAAAAGGCCCCACAAGCTCATCTTTGATGATACCAGCCCAAACCAGTACTCCACCTCCACCTTGCTGGCGTCTGAGTCGGACTGGAGCTCTCTGCCCTTTACCAATCCAGCCACGGGCCCATCCATCTGGCCCATCAAGACTCACTCTCATTTCATCAGTCCATAAAACCTTAGAAAAATCAGTCTTGAGATATTTCTTGGCCCAGTCTTGACGTTTCAGCTTGTGTGTCTTGTTCAGTGGTGGTCGTCTTTCAGCCTTTCTTACCTTGGCCATGTCTCTGAGTATTGCACACCTTGTGCTTTTGGGCACTCCAGTGATGTTGCAGCTCTGAAATATGGCCAAACTGGTGGCAAGTGGCATCGTGGCAGCTGCACGCTTGACTTTTCTCAGTTCATGGGCAGTTATTTTGCGCCTTGGTTTTTCCACACGCTTCTTGCGACCCTGTTGACTATTTTGAATGAAACGCTTGATTGTTCGATGATCACGCTTCAGAAGCTTTGCAATTTTAAGAGTGCTGCATCCCTCTGCAAGATATCTCACTATTTTTGACTTTTCTGAGCCTGTCAAGTCCTTCTTTTGACCCATTTTGCCAAAGGAAAGGAAGTTGCCTAATAATTATGCACACCTGATATAGGGTGTTGATGTCATTAGACCACACCCCTTCTCATTACAGAGATGCACATCACCTAATATGCTTAATTGGTAGTAGGCTTTCGAGCCTATACAGCTTGGAGTAAGACAACATGCATAAAGAGGATGATGTGGTCAAAATACTCATTTGCCTAATAATTCTGCACTCCCTGTATAATGCGTTATTTCTGGCGGGTGGGGACCTGTTGTCCTTCCCCCTGGCCCCCACCCCTGAGCAGCGGGTGGGGGCCCTATTGTCCTTCCCCCGGCCCCCACTCCTGAGCGGTGGGTGGGGGCCCTAAATTACTTCAAGGGGGGGACCTATTGTCCCCCCCCGGCCCCCACACCCGAGCGGCGGGTGGGGGCCCTAAAGAAGAATAAGGGGTGGGGGCCTATTGTCCTCCCCCCAACCCCCACCCCTGAGCGGCGAGTAAGGTCCATAAAGTAAAATAATGGGGGGACCTATTGTCCTTCCCCCTGGCCCCCACCCCTGAGCAGCGGGTGGGGGCCCTAAAGTACAATA